CCCCCCAGTTGGCGCTCAGAGCTTCCCCGTCTTATCAAAGTTTCACAGCTGCTTTAGTGTCAAGAGAAGGTGACGAGCTGAAGAGCGATTTTATCAACGGCATGCACAGGGATCTGGGAGTGTATCTGCCTGCCATGGAGAAGCAGCTGGCCATTCTTGATGCATTATATGAACAATACAACCTTGAGTCTGACGAGGTGGTGTGAAATAAGAACAAGAGATGCTCACGGTTCAGAGAAGAACAGAGCCCCTCTGAATGGGCAGAGTAGTGGCTAACTGCTGGAAGAAAGGTGTACAAAGTAGTGTGAGACTGTCTCGTGTCATTTTGAGACGTTTCAGTAGTTTTAAAACTCTACAGCAGGAGAGGTTTTGGTATGAAGAGGGTGTTCATGTGTGTACTTACGACCCGAGAAGGGTTTAACTGAGCAGTACAATTAATTAAGGTTGGTTTGAGGAGATTTAAATTCCAGGTCTTGTTCCAGAGACCGGTGACAGCAAAGGTGTTTCTAATCTGATTATGCAGACTCCAACCATAATTATTCATTGTGACATTTGTTTCTGGTTGTTGCTGTATTGTGGCTTAAGGCGTACTCTACATGCTTTAAGGTATTTAAGCACAGGGTATTTGGTTCTGGTCAGTTCCTTGTAAAATTGTTTGATTCCCTTTGAATTGGTCAGTATGATCAATATGAAACTATTATCAATGTTGTTTTTTTTCTCCTTGACTTCAGTGAGATACGATGATGCTTCCAACTAGCACAAAGCACTATTTTTTTTTTTTTTTTTTTTTAGCAAAAACTATTCCCAAAATGTGTCTTAAGTATGTGATTGAATTACGTACTAAGCTAACTTTTAGTCAGTTATATAAATATTTTCCTGTACTTACTATAAAAGCTTAGTAAACATTACTATGTGTGTATATATTTTTCCCTGAAAATGAATTCAGATTGTGCAGTTTGACAATGGATTTGTTGTGTTTTACATAATGTCATTGTGAGCTGTTGCTCAAAGTTTCCAAGTGGACCAAAAAGGAACTGTCATGTGAATGGCTTTAGCCTCTGCTGCCTACAGAAACTGAAAACAAGAAAGGAAACCGCATAGCTGTTAAAAATATTGACAACTGCTGTTCATGTGGACATCTGCACAAACCTATGCATTTTTACAATGTCTATTTATTATACCATAAGTTATAAAGTTCACATTAATGACATGAATTGTTCTGTCCAACTTTTGTGTGAATGTATGGACATTTGTATTCATAAGGCATGCTTTTTACTGCATGTTTGGTGTATTTAGCAACAGGTGCCAGGCCAAGGGCTTGAAGTGAGTAAATGAGTAATCCTAAAAGTGGTAGTTACAGAACAGTAACCATTTTCAGCTTATCGTCCATGCTATTGTACATACCATTGTTAAGTGTTGTTACCAGATGTACTTAATATTTTATTGATGTCGAATTAGTGGAAATGATCAGTAAGACTGCTCTTGCAGGCTGGGTTAACATTTGACTGCAAATTCACTGAGCCGTTTGAAAAAAACAAAACAAAAAAGCAGGAAAATTATCTTAGGGCTTTAAAAAGAAGCTTACCGGATAGTATTTTCAACTTTATTATTGTTATTTTTATTTTAAGAATGCAAACACTAAAAACTCCTGTACAGTAAATAAGTCATTTGCAGTAGGTTTACATCACAGGTGTGCAATAGGCTTATTTCTGATGAGTTTTAATATTAATCCTTTAGATATTCTGTTGTAATATTACAACAAATAATTGTTTTTTCTATGGATGTAAATAAGATGCTATTTGATTTTTTGCAAAATAAACATAATTAAGTTGCAGTTTGTCTTCTGTCATGCTGAAGTTAAATATGCTACCATATGGTTTACGTGCCTAGAGGTAAAGGCTCTTTACTTACTGTGCCAACTATACACTCACTGTGCGTTTATTAGGTGCACCTGTTAGTGCAGATGACCTGCTGAAGTGACTTGATTTAAGTGACTTTGAGCGTGGCATGGCTGTTTGTACCAGATCAGAAACTGCTGAACTACTATGACTTCCAATGAATTTCCTATTTTGCATGACCATTTCTGGGGTTTACAGGGAATGATGTGAAAAAGGCAAAGACGATAGAAGATTGGAAAAATGTTGCTTGGTCTGATGAATGCCACTTCTTTTGTGAAATTCACATGGTAGAGTCCCTTGGATGTTTATTTTGCATGAAAGCATGCATCTATTCTCCCTTCCAATGGTCATGGCAGGTGGTGGTGGTGTAATGATGTCGGTACACTTTGGGCATGTTAGCATTGTTTCTGACCATGTCCATCCCTTTATAACCACAGTGTACCTAACATCCGATGGCTACTTCCAGCAGAATAATGTCCCATGCTACAAAGCTTAAATGAACTCAAACTGGTTTCTTGAACATAACAGTGAGTACACTGTACTCAAACAGCCTTCACAGTCACCAGATCTCAACGCAGTAGAGCATCTTCAGCAACATCAGTTCGTACAGAGCTTGGGAAGAAGGCATTGTCCTTTTCTGCCCTGTCTTCATGCAGTACATTGCAGAAGCTCTCTCAGTTGATTTCACTTGCAGACTTTAAAAGACATACAAATGTTTTTATGAAATCATCTCTGGGAACTTGTTCATGTTTTAATATGACTGTGTACGTTATACATATTTAGCTATTTTATTGCTTTTTTATTGTTGTAATTTTAATATGTTTGTCTGGAGCAGGTCTCTCGGAAGTGAGACACTCAGTCTCAAAGGCTAAATTTAAAAAAAAATCTTTTGGGGTGTTTGGCATAAAAGGAGATTCTCATCACTGATGTACAGCTTGTAAATCTGCAGCAACTCAGTGATGCTATTATCAATTTTGACCAAAAGATTTTGGGCAAACTTTTGAAGGCAAAATAAATTCCAACCCAGTGTTTTCAATATGTGCCTAACACAGTGACTGTTGAGTGCAAATAAGAAACAGATAGTAAATAGTTTGTTTTCACAGTTGTTGTGCCAATCTTAAATAATACTTCTGTATATCATTTTCTGTTTCAAGTGATTATTTTGCATGTGCATTAATTAGCACCACTGCACCCAGGATACCAGCAATTCTTATCTATAGGTCAGGGATTTTCACTTGGCTTAGGTGAAGCAGTTGGGTCTCTGCCAGCTTCCTGTCCTGTGGTTTCCTTTGCATCGCCCCATGTACCACAGCTGTAATGCTACACCAGTCAATCTACACTAAAATAACCTTGTAGTGGAAAAAAAGAGTGTCATTTTTCCATAGGTATCATTTTAATACCTATGTGAGCTGAACATAGACCAAGCTTGCTATAAGTTACACTACATGAATAAGTTAATAAAATGCATGGGATACAGCTCATAAGTTAATTTGACCTTACTTCACAAATGGTAAACTTCACTTGAGGGATTCTTCTGTGACCACAGCTCATCTTTTCATTACAGAGCCAGTAAAATCAGGTCAGCCCTTGAATTTCAGTAACATTTAGTGCCACACTGGGACATTTGTTTGACAAATGTGATTGCCCCGGTCAGGGCACTGCACATGATGGCATAAATACACCAAGGTAAGGTTTTACTCTGGCATCTCGGTAGACAAATTGCCCTGATGTGATTTAGAAGAGGAATACAGCATGCTAATACAGTTATATGGTCTCATCCTGCTTCAAACATCTTGGTTGCAACAGTGGCCGGCTGGTCTATCCCCAACCTGTATCACCGTGCCTCATCTCCAGGCACAGATTCAGCTCTGAAAGGCTTCATTAAGATGGAATAAAAAGCCGAAAAACCCATTGCCACGTCTGAGAAACAGCAAGAGTTCACTGTGTGGTCTGCTTTGCATTTAGACTAACGCAGCACTCAGCAAACGGCTGACTGCTGCGATACTTTGATGCCCCCCTTACTTTTTTGTCTGAGTGTTGTATCCTAAGAGAACATCAATAGCCTCTCCATCAATGCCATTTAGGTTTGGGTTTTTTGTGTGTGTGCTTTTTCCAATAACAGCAGACATGACAAACCGCTAACCAAGGTTTAAGTTTAAATAAAGAGAGTGACTTAAATATCACTTTTATTTGATCATTTTTTAAATAGTTCACAACTACTGTAAAAATCATAGAGTATTAAAACAAAATGAACTACCCCAGTCACAATGCTTGCTACGCTTCATAAAGCCTTACAGCACGTCACCACATGCACGTTTCAGCATTGCTGTACATAGGCAGTCTAAGATAGAACACAGCAGCACAGGCCACAGACACGACACTCAACATAGTTTCCAGAACGGTACTCGAGCTTTGTGCATGGCACAGTTCATAACTTTAATGTTTGTCATTCATACAGTGCTTTGCTTCTCTCTGAACAGAGCAAGACTGACAGTTCTTAAGACACCTGCTATGCTGATGAATGCAATGATGATTTACAAAACGGTATTTGACAAAGGTGAAGCATTAGCAGAGTTTCACAAGCATGCGGACACAATATATTAACAGTCTTCATCTTTTGATTGCTTTTGTAGGCTTTATAGACCTGACTACATCTAGGTATGTCTGAGAAAAGGTCTCCCTTGGCACCGCGACTCAAAGAGTAGCTTATGGAAAATGTCAGCTTATATCAGCACAGTCATTTTCAGCGTTTGTGCCCAACACACAGCGGACTACACCTACACTGTTAAGTTTACTGTTGCTGTATATACTGTAAGACAGAAAGACTGGATAAAGAGGTATCAGAGTATGTACAGTAATGATCAGAAAACTGACTGCGATATGAGTTCCTCTCCCTCCCCCCTTTAGCAGCTACAGACTAGTCCAGCCCTTCCCGTGCACCGAGAAAATTAAGGACATAGCAGTTTCAAGCCTTCGTGTACAGTATATTTCATTTCTCACTGCAGCACAGGAGGGGAAACTGAATCCTGCAGTACTGCGCATTGTTGATGCGTTAAAGCTTTTGCTTGAGTTGCCTCAGTGTACAGTCACTGCCGCGTAATTTATAAAGAGCAGTAGAGGATACCTGTAAAAGGTGCTTTGTTTGTTGAGCTACATTACCTGTTAGCTAGTTCCTGAGAAGATTTGGGGATTTATTGAAACCTTGTCCAGACTAAATGTCCCTGTCAGTACAGTACCACCACAAGCTAACAAAGCTGGGTCAACTTCTAGGCTTCAAGCCTCCTGGAGTAACAGTCTCACTCAAAGATTACAAGTGCATAACTCGCTATATATACAGTATGTAGTGCACTATAACCACCTCTATCTCCGTCCCTACCTTTGTATCTCGACGTGGTAGTGAGAGGACACAGTACGAAAGTTGTTTTGACAGTAATAAGTAAACTGATAGGTTACATGCTTTGATAGTGACAGCTGCTGTCGTGGTTTTAGTAATCCCAGATACATGCAAATGCTGTGCACTGTCATTCACACTGCAGTAGAATACCTCGGGCCATCGCTCTGGATGTCCTACTGCTTGTTATTCTCAACAGTAACTGGGTCAAGATTAATATGCCTCTGTTCCAGCTACTGCTTCTCTGCAACATCGTCCACTGGTACGCGATTGAGGCTCTCAACTGTTGCGTTGAAAGGCTGGTTCGGGTCCAGTTGGGCATGTTGAGGAAGCCAGTCCAAATCCTTCTCGTTAAGACAGCGTGCAGTCTTCCTTTGCATTTCCAGTGTGCGGATTTTCACCTTCAAAGACTCAAGCTATAACCTCCGGGATATGTGGCATCTCAGCAGCAATACAGATGAGTTTTATGTATGTTTGTATATTTCTAGGTTTTGTTCTTTCTTTCATAACAGAATCACTGGCAGCCTCCGTGTTTTTGCTTGGAGCATTGTTGTCTTTTCTTTTTTTTTCTTCTTTTTTTTTTACATGTTAAGTTCCAAGCAAATAACACACAGAGGAGCCACAGCACTGTCCAGACAACTCCTCAAGTAAAGTACTTGCAGTTTGTTGAGTCAATAGTACAGTATCTTGTGCACTTGAGGTGACCATATGACCTACAAATCATAAGAAAAACGTTTTCAGGTCAAGTTCACACCTACATATTTTCATGCAGTACAAGGTTGTGTACCCAAATGCTGTATGCTTACCCTGGAAGATATGAATTACATGTCTGGTATCCAAAGTCTTTTCCATCACACTCCTCAGCCCCTTCATAGCGGTATCCGTCTCCACAGTAGGCATGTTTACACTCTATGGTAACATGAGACAGCAGGGGCACAGGGGGGTCATGTTATATGTGCACAGCAAAGTACAGCTAATGAACTATAAAAGGACCGGTAACATAGATGCATGACTTACTGACGCAGCCATCGGTGACAACTCTGTTTTTGTCATCACACTCCTCCCCGGTGGAGATCTGCACTATGCCGTCCCCACAGTAACCTTCATCATCGGGGGCATTTTCCATGGACTGGTAGGGTGTGATCTGGAATGGAAAGGTCTTTTGCAGAATTTAAAAAATGTGAACATAAAAGGAAAAGGCTGTTTGAAAGTCAATATCTATTGTTTTTTTTAAGGACACATTGCATTGTTGCTACATGCATTTATACCTGGATTGGCAGCCAGCCATCAATGTCTTTGAAATAGAGAGATCTCTGGTCTTTACGGAATGCAAGAGCGTTATCTGTGCGGAGGCGCTCCAGTTCCTCCTCATTGCTCACCACAAATATCTAAATAAAAGGCAAAATAATAGGGTTCCGTGCATTTTAGCACTTTATGAAATAACATTGAAGACCATCATTTGTCATCCCAGCTGGTAACATTTGTCTGCAAGCATTATGTATCTCTCCTGTAAGTGTACTTTAACCTTCCTTTTATCTTTCAAGCTTATTTATTTCCAGTTGTGGTCTAAAGTTTAATAGATTTATCACAGGCATGATGCTTTTAATGATATCTTTGAAGTGTTCTTTTTCTGGATTGGAATGATTGTACAAAATCTTTTTTTTTTTTCAATTTTTGTATTTTGTATTTTCTCTAATCCACTCACAGCCAAAAGTATAAATAAAGGTCAAATATATACTTCTAACTTGATCCCTAACTTCTCGTTAGTTATCATGATTGACCTCAAAAAGGAGTTTCTCTTCACTGTCTTTGTTTTATAGCAGTCATTGGATTGACCAATACTTGGAACAATAGGAAAATCCAAGGAATTCTGTGAAGGTCTTAGAAGGAGACTTTTAGATTTATACAAGTTAGGAGGGTCTCTTGAAGCCATTTTTAAACCACTGCAGATTTTAAGATTATCAGTTCAAACAACTTATTTGGATGTGTCACTGCTTTGTCCAAGAAAAACCAAATGTCATCTGCAAAAACGTTTTATGGTCAGATCAGATAAAGATTGCGCTATTTGGCAAGAATACCAAGACATATGTTTGGAGGAGTAAAGGTGAGGCTTTCAAAACTAAAAATTCTATACAGGCTGTCAAGCATGGTGGTGGTAGCATCATTCTGCAGGGCTGTTTGACTGCCAGTGGTACCGGTAAATTGCACAAAGTGGATGAATTTTTTTTTTTTTTAGCTCAAATCAAGAGCTGAAACAGCCTTCCTAAAGCCATTAAAGGTCTATGTTGTACAATCACTCCACCCTGGAAAAAGAGGACGGCACTGCCGTCATTTAATGCACTTCCAGAAAGCATTCGTTTGCAAAAGGTCAGTTATTAAAAAGCTACAATTACCATGGCATCGATGCCTATGATGAGCTGATGTAAACTTCTGACCACAACTGTATTACCCTTTGAAACTCTTTACATTTTAATTTGGTGGATTTTTCACTGATTTCACAGATGATTCTATATTTGACTGCAAACCATTCATCTCTCACCGCTGGCACTTTGAGATAATTTCCTGTAGAGGCATAATTTTCAAATGGAGGACTACTCAAAGAGCTGCAGCTACACTTTCCAGGAGGCCCTGGTGGACCGCGCGCACCCTTTGCTCCAACCATGTAGACTCCTGCATATACAGGAAGAGGGGGAGAAAAAAAGGAAGGATAAACAAACAGTGGGTCTATATTTAGTCCAAAGTGACAGAATATAGCAGCATTAATGAGTTGTGTACAGCCTACACAAGCTGATATAAATACCACATGTCAGTCTAGCGTCTTTGATTTATCAATCAAGAAGCAAACACAATCAGGATAATTCATACAGGAACTTGATCAAGATAACAAATGTCATCTTGATGATGTGCTGACATAATATTTGTAAAACTGTAGGCTTGCCATCTGTCAATCCATTTTAGCCACATGATGTCATGCTGAGAGAATCCTGTTTCAGCTCGGGGGGATTCGATTTCTCCGGTGCTAAATAAGACTACTGGTGTTACCTCGTACACAGTTTCAAAGTGGGCTTCCTTTACTCACCGGGCTGCGAGCTTTCCCTTCTCACTTTCAGCACAAGTTTTCACGCGCTCACAACGGAAAAAAACACACGACCATCCACAAACTAAATCTCTCCAGCAAACACTTAATTATGACCACAGTTTTCAAGAGTTTTAAATCTACTTTGGGATTTCACCTGTTGCAGGTGGACCAGGAGGGCCGGGGTGGCCTGGAGGTCCCTGTGGGCCTGCTGGCCCTATAGGACCAACGCTTCCTGTGTCTCCTTTCAGTCCCTTAAATTCAAAACAGTGCAGGGTCATTTCCTTACACCACATGTCAAAAAGTACAACTGTCTTGCTATCACTACTGTAAAACAGTGCAACCCACAAACTCCTCACCTGCTTGCCTCTCTTTCCCGGTCGGCCAGTGGGTCCTCTGTTTCCTGAGGTTCCAGGTTCTCCTTTTGGACCCATTTCACCCTCAATAACAGAAAAAAAAAAATCTATATCAGAAAAATTCTGAATTCAAATACAACTGTTAACACTGTAAGGCAGAACCCTTACTGGCGTGAATGAGGATTACTCACTTTTTGTCCAAGCATTCCTGGGAAACCCATTGCACCCTGCGAGTGAGGAAGAGTACGTAACATGAATTCAGAATTCTTACAAAGTGTATGTACAATTTTCCTGATACACTCTCCCCACCTTGTCTCCTTTCATCCCATTCTCGCCACGGTCACCTCGGGAACCCTGACAGAGCAGATTACATTCATTTAGTTTACTGTCAAAGTAGTTAATCAATAAATCCTACGGTATTTACAGCTGAATGGTGCCACTTACCTTTTCCCCTTTATACCCAGGTAAGCCCTAGGATTAAAGATTTATAACAAGCATGAAACACGATGAAACAAAACTCACTAAAGATCACTAAACAGCATATGTAAAATTTTACCCTCGGCCCAATTGGTCCTCTGGATCCAGGCAAACCCATCAGCCCCGGGTCACCTTTCTCCCCCTGACACAAAGGTAAACATGAATGACCTGAATGAGCTTTTGTCTTTAAAATAAGAAATGTCATATGCGGACATTGAACGTTAAAGGTTCTTTTATTACGTTTACAGTAAAGCGTTCACCAAAGGAAAGGCTGTCTGCATGTTACATAACTGGTAATCCAGGGTTTTAGTCTATTTGACTGCAAATCAGACTTGTGTAATAAACCATTCTGGTTCTTATTGGTCTCATATATTGACATATTTTATAAGATCTACATTATGACTTACTCACTTTGGCCCCACTTGGTCCTGACCATCCTGTTGGTCCTCTTTTCCCAGGAAGTCCAGGAGGGCCTGTCCGACCCTGACAGGAGACATAACTGTTTTTTAAGTTAATGAAATCAGAGCCTTTTATGCCTGTTTGACCATATAATAGAGAGATCTCTGGTCTTTACGGAATGCAAGAGCGTTATCTGTGCGGAGGCGCTCCAGTTCCTCCTCATTGCTCACCACAAATATCTAAATA